TCTAGATTTCTGATTGAAATGGCTTCAAATCTGTCACATATGTAATATGCCCGAATAAAGAGATTTGGGCCTGGTTATATGCGTTCTAAATAACGGAGATTTGTTATGCCGTGCCACGCCTTGTGTAAATAAAATGGAAAATAGCTCCTTTCATATGATTACAATTCATCTCGAATTCCTAGGAAATTCTATATCTACCTACCTGAAATTTATGGTTGCAGACTTAATAACCCTTTACAATAAATTCTTGGTATTGCTGAAAACGTTTTCATTTTCTTTACTACAAGCTGCTTTATTGAATATTCGTTTGAACCAACATTGTGCTTTATGGATTATTTCCCACACGAGTCCAATATAGGATTCTGGCTACGAAAAACTGACAACCGAATACTCTCATTTTTTGCCACTGAGTAGTTGTAAGACAAGCTACGAACTAGGAAACCCGGAGAACCTTGTCTCAGGTTGTACGGCGGGTATTGGCATCGGTAACTCTATCACTTCTCCTGATATCTTGATAAGTGAAATTTTATCATCAAATGAAATTTTTTCCGGAAATAAACTTTTTCTAGGGCAGTTGAGTTAACCATTTCCCGAAATATTACATTTTTTTTTTTTTTTACGGATATGCGCACTCGCAAGGAAATGTCCTATCACGCTCGAGAAGCGGCGAGTGCGCGGAAATGTCGGTGTATGTTGGTTTTGAAACGGTTCAGGTTGTAACCTGCAGGGAAAACCGTCGCAGGGAGTTTATTCCACAGCGATGCTGTTCTCCAGAGATATGAATTCTGATATAATGAGGTTCTTGGTGCCTCTAGTTTGACAGTAAATTCATGGTTACCGTCTGTTTGACGGGTTCGCCTGGTAGGTGCTACTCTCGGTGGAATCATACGTGCCAACTCTTCAGAGCATTTTCCGTGATAGTACCTGTAGAAGAGAGATAAATCGCCCACAGATCTGCGATGTTCGAGACCATCCAAGTTACGAGTAAGTGCGGGGTCATTGATCAGCTTGATAGCTCGTTTTTGCACGGTGTTCAAAAGCATTAAGGTATGTTTGGGTGCTGCACTCCATATATGTGAGCAGTACTCCATAGTTGGTCGAATCTGGGCTTTGTAGAGTGTCAGCAATGGGCTTGGTGTGTACAGATGTCTTGTACGAAATAGCACCCCCAGCTTTTGGGACGCCCTATCTGCCACATAGGATTTTGTCCAAATAATCACTGTGTAAAAAAAAAAACATGTTTTTCAAGCTCTTCCTAAACTCCTTGTGAGTCCTGGTTCCTGTCCAAGCCTTTGATTATTAGGCTGTGAAGGCGGTTTTCAGGAGTGTGAAACTCAAAGTCTTTTGGGTATATTGTGATGTTTCTATGGTCATTAGGAATTTTAGGAGTTGACATCGTCTGAATCCCTAGATACCTTTGGTAATATTTGATCCATCGCAATATGGAGAGTACAAACTTGAACATATTATTATGTAATTTGATGCTTGCTTATACCGACCCAGTTCCATGGACAGCTTCAAATTTCAACCAACTCTTTTCCTAAATTAGTTTGGCCATTTTTCGGAGGAAATGACTGGAATGTTAATGTCCTTATTAGACAAGAATTGGGATTGTGGGACACAACAATTGGTAGTGATTAGATTTCGAAGTCATTTCAAGGGATAACAAGGACAAACACAAGTTTTAAATAAAAAATTTAAACAAATTGGTATTCATTACAAAATCGTGGAGTGTACTAGAGGGGAGTTGGAGCTGAGGCTAGAAGAGGTCGCATCCATGTCTGGAACAATTATTTGAACTTTATATGAGATGAATTGGATTTTCTTCTCGACTTTTTTTTTCTGGGTGTTTTTTTTTTATTTATGAGAGTTTGCGAATTTTTTTTCAGATCTCGTATAATGTTTTTTTTATTTCCTGGATTTTTCTTAAGCCTTGGTGTTGCAATTTGCGGTTTGATTACTTCATTGTCCTCATATAAAAATTGGCCACGCCGGGCGATGATCCCATGAAAAGTCTTTTTTTGTGCGAAAGATTGATGTTGTAGGTATGATCTATCCAGGCAACATTTCATCAGATCTATTATTGCCACTAGGTGAAGTGGGTCTCTCTTTAACTGTGTTGCATCCCACAAGTTTTTTTTTGTCTCTAGTATTTCTAAAAATTGTTTGGCATCTTTGACGAATGATTTGCTGGTGTCTTGCAGGAATTTATTCATGAGGAGGAGATATTTTGCTAGGTTATACGTTGCTAAATCTCATGAGCTGGTGATCGGGCGGTACGGAATATCAGCTTTGTTAATAATAATAATAATTAATAATAAAGAAAAAATTAGCGAGTCTGCTAGAACTCGAGACACTAATGTGTAAACATCTCGTGACTTTTTCAGGGCCTCCTTAACGATAGGCAGACAATAACTTTAGGTTAGGGGTCTTTTTCGTTTCCACCACGCCTAATCTTTCCCTGAACTAGTTTATGGACATCCTAATTTTGGGGGTCCAAAATTCTCCACCTTAAATGTCACCTAGTAAGGGAATGGCCACACCTCACTTTTCCAGTATTTTCATCTTTCAAATATCAGGACCAGAGTGTGTTTTTTCTTTCAATTAAAAATGGAAATAGATAGATTTAGTGCAAAATGGTTTTCCTTAACGAATACACGACCGGGATAATCACTTTGATGCTATAAAAAATCTAACTTTGATAAAATGTGTTTTTCAAATTTGCCAGCGAACGGCTGATTTTTAATATTTTTTAGAATTACTCCATAGAAAACTACTTCAAGGAGCTAAAGATAGATCAAAATCAAAAAACCATCATACATGACAAATACATAAACACAAATTAAGGTTAGGTCTACTAAAGGAAAGGAAGCTATCGAAGCCGATAAAAATTGATGAAAATCCCCAAGTTTTGCGATGTTGCCACTGCTTTCCGAAACTTAGCTAGGAATTTCAAAATGTTGACTGGTGGAAACCATTTTCCGAATTTAGGAAATCCTAAATCAGGCCAGCCCTACCTATTCTATCCCTATATGAAAGTTGAAACGGGCATAATTCACTGCACAAATTCACAGCGATCTTTTATATCATTAACATGAAAATCTAATGCCATCTTAGGCTACAAGCGCTGAAGTAACTGCGCATGGAACTTCCGCTTTCATACTTCCGTCCCCAATTCCCGAGATTTTCCCCTTATACAGCCGACAAAGATGTTTACACATCAACAAGAATGGCTTTAGCAACCCCAATAATATGGAAACCATAATTAAATGGGTCATAAACCATAGAGCCAATTTGAGAAAGACATCATTTTATCAGTTTTAGCCTCATAACGATGGGAGTTTACACCGTCCGAAACGTCGCAATTATTGTTGATGAGGGTAATGCAAGTCGAAAATCATGTCTTGAACAATTTTTTGATAGTACCTATTTATTCTTGTGTTATACCTTGTTTCTATAATGGCCTAAGTTTTGCCTAAATTGGAAGCGTTCTCGTGGTCTTGGATTGCTGAATGTATTGCGATTTCATATTATGTGCATTTTTCTATCAGACTTCTTTCTGAACATTTTACATTGTTGACGCACCACATAGGCATCTTTAATGAACTTTTAATCAGGATCATTATTTATTTGATCAATTTTTGGTTTTTGTGTATCCTGGGCCCTATCTTCCTAGTCAATCCAATAAAATGTTTGCTGTCTTGCTGGCTCCGAACTTGTCACATATTTTTGGGTCATAATATTTTTTGCTTGTGTTTAATTTCGAGTTTAATGTTTAAAAATATATAAAGGGCAACAAAATAACATCAACAAAGAGGAAATTTGAACCGAGTGTTATATTCTCGGTCCAGGTCAGCTTTGTCTCTAGAGATCTGCTTCAGATTTCAATAGCTTGGAATTTGGTAATCAATCGGCAATCTTTCATGCTCATTATTCCTTACGCTAAAATTTCATTTGAGGTTGAGAGATATTTATAAACGTTTCAACTTTGATGATTTGACAAAACCTTTTTTTTTAATTTATATTCGTGCAAGAATAGAGACAAACCGTATTGACGCTCGAGCATAACTCGAATTTCTCTGAAAGCTGTCAAAATATTACAAATGACAGACAAGTATTAAAAATGTTATCTTTTTCTGCAAAATATGACAAATGCCAGTTTTCTCATATGCGTTTTGTCAAGTTTTGTTTTTTTTTTGGGCTACTCTGTATTTACCTTGTAACTTCGAAGGAAGTATAAGTTCATAGAGTATGCGGAAAATCTTTTGAAGAAGTCACATCACCCACAAATTTATATTAATTAATCCAATTAGACTGCAGTGCAGCAATCCATCGGGAAAATGAAAGACTTAAGCGTTTCAGTCCATCAACGATTTTCTTAATCACGACTCTGATGGGGGGAAAGCGTTTTAATATTACGTATAAACAAAACGTATCTCTTGAATTCCCTACCCTCATGGGGGTTGACGCATGCGTCAACGTGCTATCCAATGATGGCCGCTTTAAACACGGCCAGACCGTCTCCTGACACAAACCCGATTTCTGCTGACGATTTGACACACGAAACCGCGTGAAAAGTGTGCGTTTCCTGCGGTAAATTTGTTTTATGTTGTATAGAGAAAATGTGATCCGTCATGTTTTTATTTGGTAATTAAAAATTCAGTGCGGCGAGCGAACTCTGAATGCCGATTGGTTTGAGATTCATTCAAATCTAGGTGTTTGATAGTAGGTCATGTTCGGCTAGTGAAATACGTAAATTAATTTTTTTTTATTATCAATATTGAAAACGTTTTTTATATATATATTTATATATATATTTTTTTTTTTCATAAATGACCTTATCAATTATTTAGATATTTTTGAGCGTTATCCAATACTTTAGATTACCTTTCGATCTATTAATTTTTTTTTTTTTTCAATTGAGTAAGTAAATTTTTAAATTAGATTAATTTTTTTCAAGGATAGTTCTGTTATTATTTTTCAAGGCTTTTTAATGTTTCATAGTTTTGATACAACAGGTTAGAATAGGGAATCGCTGCAGATGTGCCTAGTTTTCAAGAAGTAGGCCACTGCTGCAGGGGTTTTTGAGGTGCTATAGTGTAAAGTTTAATACATAGGCACATAATAATTGAATTACAGAGGCTTAGTATGAAATAATTCACAGCATAAAATGGAACCTTTTAAACCTTTTAAAAAAAATAATGAGAAAGGTATGTAATTTTCTTATAACTTTTAAAGAAAAAATATTATTTTTATTAGATCTTTGGGGATAATTTAATCTGCATTACAGGGTGCTTCATCAAAAATCTCCCAGGTATTTTTCCTTGTTGCGCAATAAGTCAAAAACAATTTGGACTCGGCAACTTTTGCTTGATTGATTTGACTGAGTAGTAGCAAATTATCACTCTCCAGCTCCTTAAGCTACCGAGTTAAAGGTAATCTTCGATTATAAATGAAAAAAGGAGTCAACCGATCCTGTATTTCAAATTTATTCAACAATTTAATTTTTTGAATAATTTTTTTTTTAGATTTCAACTTTTTTCAACCCAGTAAAATTGGTTTTTATGCTGTTCTCATTACTTGCTTCTTCAAATGAATATTTTATTACGCCATTCATCATTTTATTTTATTCTCAACAAAATAGAATTAATTGAAAAATAATGATACATTTAGGTTCTAACATCTGTTGCTGGATGAAACAAGAAAAGTTTGACATACTTTTATCTAAAATTCAAAAACACTTGAATATTTGAGAGTTATTATTCAAATTTAAGTGAAAAAGATTAATTATTTTTGTAGGCTGATATTTTATACGCAGCCATTGCGCTCAGTTTGAGTTTTTTTCTTTTTCCCGCAGAAACACTACTAGCGAAAAAATAAAAAAGTTTTATTATTTGCACAAGAAATAAAAAAAAGAGAATAGGGTTTTATCAGCTTCAAGTATCAGATTTATTTTTGGTTTAGAAAGGAAGAATAAACTTTTTTTTATTCAATTTTACCCTAATTAAATGTCTAAAACTCAATAACAATGTGATTACTTCTTTTATTACAGTGATAAGATTCAACTAAATATTATCTAGCAAGATGAAATTTGCTTCGAAATTGTTAATTTTTAGGAAAGTACCAAACTATATCGTGATGAATTAAAATTATTATCAACTGTATTCATCATTTTATTTTTCAATAGACAGATTCAATTCTTCCTCTCAGACCACTTGCCACTTGTAAGGTAAAACTCCATTTATACCAGAGGGGCCTGTATTTATATTAAATATTTAATTAAAATTATTGCAACTCTTACCTTATTATTATTCTTAAACTGGAAAGTCGGGGACATTTCCTCTTCGATAGGTCTGGGCATAAAGTCCTCAGTAGCCCAAATGGTTTCAGGCCATTGTCATTCCCACAATGTTTACTAACTACCCTATCTTCTTCTTCTTCTTCTTTCAGCCTGCAGTCATCCACTCCTGATAGTGGGCCTTTCTCAAATTCTTCCAATCAATTATCGTCATCCTAGAAATTATCGTCTCATCTCACTTTCATCCGTACTTTCGAAAGTGATGGAAAAGGCTGTGAAGCTGAATCTGGTTAAATACCTCGAAGCCAGTAATCTCATCGCTCACAAATAGTACGGGGTTCGTTCTAGAAGATCAACAGGGGATCTGCTGGCGTACGCCAGTCATATTTGGAACTCGGCTCTCGAAAAACATGGCGAATCCAGAATTCTTTTGATCAGATGTGGCCCCATAGTCTCCTCGACAAGCTTCTATCGAATTTAGCCATTGGCTGAGGAGCTTTTTGGAAGACAGTTTACTGCATGTTGTGGTCGATGGTGGGTCTTCTGATATACTGCCTATAAATGCCTGCGTTCCCCAAGGCTCAGCCAACACTGTTTCTGATATTTATAGATGATCTATTAAATGTTACATGAAACCCCATATAATGCTTTGAGGATGATAGTAGCTGATGGCATCTTTCTCTTCTCATAAACCGCTTACTGCAGCTACTTCCACACGTGATCTTGACACCATTACCATCTGGGGCCTTAACAACTTAATCAAATGCTTTTAAAACTGAAGCAACAGTATATTCTCAAATAGGAAATCTTCCGCTGATGATAACCCAATTTTAATGATGTCGGGAAAAAACGTTTCTATCAATCCCTCACTATCCCTTCTTGGGGTGACCGCATCGATCAACTTGTCTTGGCATGATCATGTATCTTCAATCGCAAAAACCGCTTCTCTAAAATTAGGTTTCTGTTTCGTGCAGTTCCTTTACTTCTGAACAACTTCTTCTCCTGTTCAAGGTTCAAATCAGACCAGGTATGGAATATTGGTCCCACATCCGGGGCGATGCTCCCAAGCATTCGTTAGCTCTATTAGATGCAGTACAAAGAAATGCAATAAAAATGATCGATAATTCAACTCTCGCCAATTCATTGGAATCTCTGGAACATAGACGCAAGGTGGCCGACTTGTCGTTATCCTATCACTATTACCATGGGAGTTGTTCTGACGATCTGGCCAGCCTCATTCCAGCTAGGAGAAGTTATTCAAGAACCACAAGAACCTCACAAGCATCCCATCCGTATGTGATAGAGATGGCTACCCCATGAACCTCCAAATATAAGGCTTCTTTTCGGTGGTGTACTATCCACCTCTGAACCTCCTTGCCTCCTACGTCATTTCCTGAACGATTCAACCTTCACTTGTGTATAAATCAAGAACAGTGATAATTTCATTTTGGTTGCTGTTACTAACTATAATAACATATTTGTTTCTTATTTTGTTCACTTTTCATATTTTCGTTGTTTTTGATTGTATTTTTTATCGCTATTATGAGCTCTTAGGTCTTTTCTGATTCTCCTGTTGATTTTCTAGTTTAGTTTCCTTTAAATCTATTTTACGTGACCCATTGTTCTACTAAATTTATTTGACCCAATCTTGCTGAAATTTTCCTAGTCTGAACACTGCTCGAGATGTTATCGAGTTTTTATGAATTTTGCGAAGCTTTGGGCTTAATCTCCAACTCTTCTCTCCTCGACTCTCAAATTATGGAAAAAAAATATATATATTTTGCCCCAGACTTCTCGTCTCTTCAACTTTTGTGAATATTGCTTCTGATTAGATTTTGAAACAAACCTTACGGTGTTTGTCCTGAATTTTTCCGGTTTTGAAAATATAATAACAAATTAGTTTTAAGTACAACCAGTACCTCTCTCTGGAACTTACTTTTTAAACAAGTTCTCATTCGTTTAAGGAAATTGCCGAGGAATTTGCATTTCTTTTTGAATATATAAAAAAATAAATTAAAATATTAAACAAAATTTCATGAAAATGCCTAATTCCTGAAAAAATAAAGCTTTTGAGGGACCCTACAAATTTCCGTCTAATGAAAAGTTTTCACCCTGTTGGCACCTTGTTAATGATCATTAATCGAAACGAGAATAAAACTCGGTAACTGTCCTCATTAAATACCGTACCCTGCTCGTTCTGTCGAAGGTAAAATAAGGGTTTTTTTAAGATCGATTAAGCAATCAGGCCGTAATGATTCACACATACATAGTCTTAATTAACAGATTAACAAGCGATATATCATTGCTGGTTAAGATATAGAAAAATTATGTACCTAGTTTTGGAATCCCTATATTCAAAATGTGGCATAGTTATAAAACTAGACTATAAATTAAAACTGACGTAACAAATGCCAAGATCACAAAAGACTGATTATGAAAGTTGCTCTGAAATTATTTCAAAATGCCAAGAGAAATGTATTTTGTGAAATGAAAACAACTAGTAGAGGACCTAAAGTCCTAAAGAGACCCTTAAACTTGTCAAGTGAACTTATCCAGAGGGAGTTGTTAAGTTTCCATAGGCAATGAATACAAATGGCCTCTAAGAAGCCTCACTTAGAACACCCACCTAAGGCCCACCCATTAATTTAATTATTTAAAGGTCACTTAATTTTTAACCTGACAGGTTTTGAATTTAATTCAATTGGTATCGAAAATTTTGTGTCAATTTTTCATTGCTGATATTTGAAAAATGGTATTGTCGAAAACTCATTGATCAATGAGACCTCTGGCAGCTAAAACTGAAACATGTCCATTGTGTTTTGGGAGCTTTGTTTGTTAAATTATAGAGCTTAAAAGGTGCTTAAATGAGTATTTTCAAACAAAAAAACTATATTTAACTCAAAAAACAGTCTTCTTTTTTTCAATATGTCCTATGAAGTGCCAAGGACGTCTTACATCAATTGTTGCCTTTATGACTCCCATTGAAAATGTCGGAAAGAAAAAGATAGAAACAATAATTTTCATGATTTTTGTAACAAAAATTATGGCATTAATGTGGTGTGTGGACAGGTTTAACTCATGGGAAATCTAATTTAATAGATTGTATCCTAAGTGCAGTGACATCAATTGTCAAAAGCACTATTCTATGTCAGTCACGACATCAATGTCACTGCCCGGACGAGCATTCAGTATCATACAAACGTGTATGGAACGATTTAGCTTCTTGAAATTCCAGCGTTATTATTCGACTTTCAGTTTCCAGACCTTGCAAACCAAAGCGGTAGAAGTATACAAGCAGCAGTAGTTCATCATCATCATACCTATGATTATCTTCTATTATATTCCTATTTTCGTCGATTGTGCGTTTTCTGATGGCTGAAGCCGCACACTCTTCTACAGTCTTGGCACACCCAGCCTCTAGCAGCATTGTCACTTTCTCTGTTCTCTCGCTCCTTCCTGTGGACCCTCTTTCAGTCTCGTATCTGCGTTGGTGTTCCGCCGTGGACTACTCGACGCCATGAGGGCCTAGCATTTGCCGTCGTCTCCCAGTTGCTGGTATCGATGCGGCAATTTGACATATTTTCCTTGAGAACATCTTTGTAGCGTTTCTGTTGACCTCCTTCATTTCGTTTTCCCTCTCATACTCATACAGTGTTTTGTTGACTTCCCTGATTTCGTTTTCCCTCAATCAGCTGACTGTGTAAGACATCTGTCGTGGAAGACGTGTTTCGAGCATACGGACGCAAAGCTGATGCTAAATGATGAGGGCTTCCATGCCAGTTGTTTTGGCATCCTCTAAAACACCTATGTTCGGTAGTAGGTCCTGCTATTGAATTCGAAGGATTTCTCATAGGCAGCGCTGATGGTATTTTTCTAGGCATTTTATGTGTCTTCTGTAGGTGGTCCATGTTTCGCAGCCATTATCTAGGTGTTGGTATTACAATTGCATTGTAGCCGCGAAGTTTGGTCTCAGCGCTTATAGTTGATTGTTGAAGACTTGCTCAAAAAGTCGCCCAGCACACTTGAACGAGTGTTGGATTTCAGCGTCATAGATTGCATTCGCTGACAGATGGATCCCAAGGGTAATGTTCTAAGTTCTGCAAGGAATGGTCATTTATAGTTATCTATGGGGCTTGAGGATTAGTGCCCGGTGCGGGTTAATGCAGAATCTGCGTCTTGTTAAAGTTGTCCTCTAGGCCGATTCTCCTGTATGCCTGCTATCATCCGCATATTGAAGTTCAATTTTCGATGTCGCCGATACTTCCGTCTTGGCTCGTTACCTGTTTAGGCCCCATCCAGTCTGTATAGGACTTTCACTCCTAACGGCAGGTGACCATCGATAAGGTGGTGTATGGATCCTATAAATAGAGGAAATAAAGTAGGTGCAATAACGCAGCCCTGTTTCGCCGGGAGTTATTTGAAAAGACTATCCTTGTCCATCGTTGCTTAGGACGGTTACATTCATATTATCATGCAGCAGGTGGAGTATGTGGATGTTCTTTTGCGGATACCCAACCTCTGCCAAGATCTTCCAAAGAGCTTCTCTGTTGACCGAATCAAATGCTTTCACTAAATATATGAAGGACGTGTATTGAGGGCGATTTTGTTCTCTGGATTTCTCTTGCACTTTTCTTGCACTGAAAATCATGTCAGCTGTACCTTGGTTGGGCCTAAAGACACGGCAGTTGGGATAACACGATGATAATACAACAGTTGTCACTGAAAAAGTGAAGATGTTTTTCTCGGAAATTTCTGATGCGATGGAGGATTTGTGTCAGCCAATCAACTGAATTCAGTACAATAATATATAATAATTTCATTCCAATACATTTAATCATTACATACATTTTTATACTCACGACTTATGACGACAATAATAATTCCAATACCTCTAGTACAGATAAATACGAGAAAATACCTATTAAACCCATACAATTATTTAAAAAAAAAAGTACCTACTTCTGCTTCTTAATATTTTATAAAACACTTTCCTACCTATCTAAATAAAATTCTCTAACGATTGATAGACTCTTTTGTGAGCATGAAGATATTTTTAACTTTCTAAAAGTATACGCTGCATGAGGTAGGTACGTATTTCACGTGCACTATAGTTTTCTGTATGCTGCCTCGTAGGTACATACAATGAAGTGCTTTTACTTGTGGGCTGAAGTGTTGTTTTAACCTTGTTTGAAACGGGAAAATGTGCGGAAAATGGGTCAAATTGTTTTTGATTTTAACTGAGCCCATAGAAAAATATTGAATAATGAAAATTTGTTGTATTAATATAATCTCCAAGGCTCAAATAAAGATTCAGGTTGAATAGATTGTTTCTTTGGAAATCGCCGGTTTTTGATAATCTTATTTGACTTTCATATAATGTGATTTCTGTAGAAAGCCTTTTGACAGTCTTGAATCCGGTGAAAATTTGTGAGCAAGGATTGCGTTGCCTCTGAGTTTAAATCAACAAGAATTCAAAAATTGGGCAGTACCAATTAAGTCGTTTGGATACAGTTAATTAAAACCTGATTTCATAAAATAGTTCTATATTCTCATAGATAAAATACTTCACTATTACTATTACACGCATTTCACTTGCTCACAAAAATAAAATATCAAAAACTCGCCTACCTTTACATCTATGACGCAGACATTAAACCTATTCATTTAGGATGTGCAGTGGACGCTGAAAATGATGCTATGAAACTCGTTGCACACGAATGTTATTTTTATTAAAGTTATAAAATGACCTTATTAACTGAAATAAAAGTATGGCAGCAACGTGACGAAAGGATGATATTATTTTGGTCCACGGGATCGATCTGGTGTAGTCGAGTGGAAAAATGGATATTGATTTGGCAGCTTGGATCTGTGTAAAGAAGATTGACATATACAGGTAACATAAGCATTTTTTTATCAAGTGGTTACTGGTTTTTATTTTATGAGAATCTGAATCTGGAAATGAAAAAAAAAAACAAATGCGTATCAAGCTCGGTTTCAAGTCTATAGTGTAAATAAATATTTGTTGAACATTCCGATGTTTAGAAAAATATATATTTCATCGGAATTTGCCATTTATTAATTTTAAAATTATTCTTGTGCTAAATATCCATCCACCAAAATACATTGCAAAATTTTGAATCCAATTTTCTTAAGGATCCGTTTATGCTTGGGACATAGCTAACTGGCGATTATACTGTGCCAAATTTCAGCGCTATTTGATAAACTGTCTCTGAGAAGAAAAAAAAACTATGAAAGACTAATATCGTAGTACTTCAAAGCAATTATACCTAATTGGTTTTCTCCCAAGAGAAAATATTTTGTAGTTTCTGTTTGAAGGTGAAAGGTGATGTTATTTTTGGAAAATAATTTCGGACATCTTTTTCTATTTTGAGGGTATATTTTGATACACGTGACTATTCGAAGCTTTTCTTATGACTATGAGCTCGTACTCGAAGGGGTGAAGGATCCAATGGTCAATTGAAATTTTTTTGTAGTTAGATTCTAAAAACTATTTTCATGAAGTTTTTCAAGTTAAAGGTGCTCGACAATATTTAGGAACGGTTTTCATATTCTTGCTATGTTAACCATCAAGTTTGCTGAGACAGCTTTTGGTTCGTTGAGCATGAGTGTGCAGCCTCTTTGATTTTTTTCCTAAGCCAATGTAATTATTATTATTCCTATTGGGTTGACAATAATATGCGGTAAGATTTTCAATATTCATGTATCCTAAATAACATGTGCAAGAAGTGCAAAGCACTCAATGCAGTTTTGAATGACAATGATTGGTCCCTTTATCAGGACAAAGGATTGATTTTTTTTGTGTTCTATGATAGGTACAGTTGCAATAAAACATTCTGTTCTGCCGTGAAATGATAGATGTGGGTGACTGTGGGTAGGATTGCGATTAGTAGAGCACTAGCTGAACTTTTCTGCCATTTTTGTTCCTTCTTCCCCTGCCATCCTGATTTTCTCTGTAAAATGAGAGTTTCGATCATCCGTTGGGGGTCAGCAAACTCTTGGTATTTTTAATTCAGGAGTGATAAGTACACCAATCAGAGAAGACCTGTCATAATCCTCCACAAATCGATATAGATTGAAAAGGTCCTTTTTTGTATGGGAGAGGATTTTCTTCCAAAAGGGCAGCGTGTCTGGTCAAGTAGTTAAACTTTGGTAGAAAACGCTCGCAAAACTCTCATCGATATATTCATTTCGTATTTGAGTGAAGCGTAGGAATTGCTTTTTTAATTGAAAATCCAACCGATAGATGAAAGCAATAATAATAGGTAATATGATTGACTCATTTTATTTTGCAATTAATCCATTTTTCAATTATGTAATATGAATTAGCTATTTCTTCCGATGTTCATTCTGGTGACAACAAAATAGGCATAGGCGCAACTAGGGGGGTGCTTGGGGGTGCTAAGCACCCCCAAAACAGAAATTAGCACCCCCATTCGGCATTCCCCCATAGCACTACCTAAAACCTACCTACCGACCTACCTAAAAGTGCAATCAAATTATTTATAATTTTTCACAAGTTTTATCGTCTGTTATATAATTTTAGTGTGTTGTATTTTCGTGGCATGCAGACGTTTCAATTAATTATTGATTTTTTTGCACTTTTTGTACGTACTTACGTCATCGGTGACGTCATAACTTGGAAAAAAAGATTAGTCGTTGATTAATTTATAGAACACGTTCAGAATTATTGTTTTGGTATAAAAATTTGTGTTCCATCATGTACAAATGGAAAGGGGTGATTCTTTGTTTTATTTTTATGACTGAATTTTCAAACAAACATGGAAATTTCAATCTTTTTTTAGTTTTTTCTTTATAGCTCCTGCAATTTTTGAGGGATTTAGCTAAAATTGTTTGCTATCTTAAATGTTTGCCAGAAACAAAAGATAATTCAAATAAAGCCATAGCCTACTAGAACATTTCAAAGAAATTAGTTTCTATAATTAGATACAGAGAATTGTTTTTTTTTTTTTTTTTTTTTCTTGATAAGGATCGGTGATACGAAAAAACTAAAAGAGAAAAAAAAAATTATAAATAAGGTAGAAATAAGTATCACCCTGTAGATTCTGGCAAACGTTTGCTATGTGTAATGTTTGCTCCTATTGCGTAGATAACCTATATACCAAATTTGAGCTAAATCCCTCAAAAATTGCAGAAGCTATAAAGAAAAAGCTAAAATCATATTGAAATTTAAACACCCTGTAGATCGGTAACGCATCGTTTGCGGACCAAAAGTTTGCTTCACGAGGGATTGTACTTACATCATCATTTGCCTTCTTTTTAAACAGAAAATAAATGACTGAAATAAATTCATGACTTCGTAAACATTCGTCGGTTCTCAAAATCAGGGCTTGTATTCTCGTAGCCGGGGAACAGGATTGCTCTGTCTTTGTCAGTATTATCGAAATAGCAATATGGGCGACTAAGACAGAGAAATCGTTCTTTTGAGACCGCTGTTCCCTGGTTACGAGAATACGGACCTAGAAACCATTCATTAAATTTGTCAAAAAAATTAGACACTAGCTCACGTCACACACATAGCCTCATTTTCGTTGGCGGATAAAGAAAGCGTCATATGACGTAACGTCACTGACATCAGCTAGTATACCTAATTAATTTACGACAAACCAAACCCTTTTTTCTAAGTTATAATGTCATCGATGACGTAAGTAGAAACCTTCGTACGAACTATATGTTTATTTGAAATTTCAGACATAAAAAACTTATTTGTTAAAAAACGAAGGCAAATGATGACGTAAGTACAAACCCTCGTGAAACAAAGTTTTTTTCACGCGCGTCATCTACTTCTCATCAAAGCCCACCAAAAAACAAACAAAAAAATAGTGCTTTAGCACTCCTCAAATTTGGAGCCTAGTTGCGCCTATGAAAATAGGTGAAACAGGCAATGAACTCACGTTACCTAACACAAAAATGCTAATTCCTTTAATTAAAAAAAAAAAACATTAATTAAAATTGAGATTCACCTAGAGCTTAACTTATGAATAATAAACCCAAAACAAGTCTGCCCCAAATTTCTGTATCATGCCCACACTCTAGCGACGCGCTGTGAAAATAAAGTTTTTCACGCGACGGGTTAAAATAATTTCACACACAAAAAGGGGCTTATATTTCACATCCAACCTAATAAAAATTAAAATCTATTTTAATTTTAAAGAATTATAAAGATATTACACCTTGTCATAGCATTTGCTTATATTCAATAAGATGATGCAAGCAAATGTTCAGAAACGAGAAGCTTTAAATTGAAAAACGAAATTTAATTTTTTCAAATTCTTTTCGGGCTCTCATGCTTTGTTACTTGCAATACATATTCTCTTGAGACTTGAGATCCTTATGTTACCTGAACGATTTTTCGTCTAATGGAAAAGTTTATGAAATGTTGAATTACTATATTAAAAAAATGTTTTCAAATTTTTGTATAAAACATCTCCCTCGAAAAGATAATTTTTAAATTTCTTGTTACAGTGCAGAGCTATGCCTGGAAAATGGGGAAAAAATAAGTAATTGTGTAGTCTTACGAATAATACAAGGAAAATGAATTTTTACACGCCCCTTGGTGTGGATTTTGTGTGATTTATTGTTATACTTGTCCGACTTGAAAAAGAGAAATAGTTGATTTAACTATTTATTTTCAAGAAAAACTCTCGCCTTAGTTTTCTTTTTCCAATTATTTTGGCTCGACTTCTATTCAATCTAAATTCAAGTACGGATTTGAATTTCGTTTCAACCATTGCTAGTTACTTGGTAATTCTGGTAATTAAAATATCTAAACGGATGCGAGATACGGAAAAAAAAAAAACAACAAAAAAGTTAAATTTCCTTTTTATTCCACTTTTCTGTCGGAGCAACTTTTTGTAATCATTTTTCTATAGGTACCGGGTGTCCTACCGAAAACTGTCAATGGCCTATATCTTGAAAACGGTAATCGATAAAAAAAAAAAGAAAAATCCGTTTGGAGGGTTGGAAGGGGGAACCAAAACAAGGTACTCTTCAGTTCTCGCCGAATCACCCCTCCGGCCGTAGCTACCCTAACCTCAAAATCTTAAATGGCACTATGGGTCATGTGATACCTTGTTTTAAAGGTCTTTTAATTCTCTAAATGGATCCGCAGAAAAAAATTATCCAGATTTAAATGTGACTCTCATGTTGAGGAAAACTTCATCGATCGGGTGGAACAAGTAAATGTGATTTAAAATCGATTTTATATAAATTAAATAACAGCCTGAATATTTTTGAAGAAATCATCAAGATTTTATTTTTTTGAACCCCTTTCCTCTCACTGTACCTGACACTGTTCACCTCCTCAAGAGGGCAAAGTTGTGAACTCGAAGCATGCGCTATATTGTGACAATTTAAATTTGTATCTAGATAATTTTTTTTTGCAGATTCGTTTAGAGAATTAAAAAACCTTTCAAACAAGGTATCACATGATCTATAATGCCATAATTTTGAGGTTAAGGTGGGCTACGGCCGGAGAAGTGATTCGGGAAGAGCTGAAAAGTACCTTGTTTTGGTTCCCCGTTCCAACCCTCCAAACGGGTTTTTGTTTTTGTTTTTTTAATCGATTACCGTTTTCAAAATATAGACCATTGACAGTTTTTGGTGGGACACCCGTATATCAAACAGATAAATTTTGTATTAAATCGATAAATACAAAATTGAGAAACGAAAGGCCTATATATCAAATGACTGCTTTTAATTTCCATTTTCTCTTTCTTCATTTTTTTCTAAGTGACGTGCAGTTAGTTGGTTGGTTGGTTTAAGCGGGGTCAGGCGTGCTCGTGTCCCGCTTTGTACTGCAGCCTTAACCCTTCGTTAGTGTTATGGGGTACATCATACCCTATCACGGCTATT